TTAGGGGTTTAGGGTTTAGGATTTTCTGGGTTTGGGGTTTGGGGTTTTGGGGCTTGGGGTTCAGGATGTGGCATTTGGGGTTCAGGGTTTAGGGTCATCACGAGTCTTGCCTAGGGACTGAATGAAGGCACAGTCAGCAGCGCCTGAAACAACACTACCGAATTTATGGGCCTTCATGCTTTAGGCTTTAGGGTTTTGGGTCTTGGGTTTCGGCTTCAGGATTGCAGGCAAATCATATTATCGGTATACAAGGACTACAAGCAGGGTTGTGCGAAGAGTATCTTTCCCCTAAACCCTAGACCCTAAACCCCAAACCGTGGTAGATCCGGGAGCCTGGATTTCTTGAACAATCAGGCCAAAGGGCTATGGGCTTTCCCGTTCGCGTTTAGTACTTGGGGTCTAGGGTGTGGAATTTACGGTTTAGGGTTTAGGATTTAGGGTTTAGGGAGGGGTCAGGGTTGAGAGTTCATGAGAGCATGGCTGTTGGCCGGCGTCTGAGCAAGGAAGGAAATTTCCCGCATCGCAGCATTCGCAATCCGATCGGAAGTGCTGCAGAAAATGCATCTCTTGTCCAAAAAGCTGTGGCTTACCGACACCGCTCGATCTATAGAACCGTACATGCACAGTTCCCTAAACCCTAAACCCTAAACCCTAAACCCTAAACCCTAAACCCTAAACCCTAAACCCAACGAACACTGAAAGCCCCCAAAGGTCCAAGCTTGGAAGCACAGCCGAACTAATATAGGGGCCTTCATCATTACCTATACTATTTTAGGGGCTTCCTTGTTCTAATTCTAGTATAATGGGCCCCAAAACCCTATTCTAATTACCAAGGCCCCTATATTACAAGACCGCGCTCAGATCATGCAGCTCATCCTCTGCTATTTCGTTCAGCGCCTCAGCTTGCAGTTCCTATAGGTTTTTTTTTGGGGGGTTTAGGGTTTAGGGATTAGAGTAGGGTTTTAGTGTATATTATACTATGATGACGCGCAAGAGCCGAAGGGAATGGGTGTTCTAACCTAGGGTGTGGGCCGGGAGTATATTATGCTGTATTGAGGATCCTATTTCTAACACTTCAGGCTGTATAAGGGACGTCTAACCCCCAAACCCTAAACCCTAAACCCTAAACCCTAAACCCTGACTATTCAGGCTTCGATGTTGAGGGATGCTTCGGGCTTCCTGGAGTCTGCTCTCGGGCTTGGAACTTTCGACTTTCGTTTAGGGTTTCGGCTTTTGGGTTTCGGGTTTAGGGTTGAGGATTGAGGGCTTTCGGGGGCTGTGAAGATGAAGCACAGCCCTCCGTGGCAAGCAGCAACCCTCTGCTAGACGTCACGCCTTCCGGTTCAGCTTTACGAGCGTCTTCCTTGAACCCTGGACCTCAGCTACGAGAGCCAGGGTTCAGAGTTTGGGGTTGTGGACCCACGTTCTTTGGCCTTAGGACCACTTGGGTTGAGGAATTTGGGTAGGACTTTACAGGGCTGGCCCTCCTCTCCGTACACGGCAAACACTCGGGAGCGTCAAGAAGGGAATACCCAAATTCCGCGCACGCGTTTTCAAGACCCAGGGCGCCCTTTTGCTGGCACCGATGCCCCACTACAAGGGGCCCCAAATTGCCAAGAACCGACGATGGCAAGCCCCACGCTGCAGAAGAAGGCCAAGACGCACTGAGGAAGAGCCGCGCATGAATTACCTCAGGCCGGCTGTAATTACTGGACTATGAATCACGGCGATGACGGCGATGTCTGTGGTGGTGTTGATGATGATGATGATGGTGATGATGATGATGGTGATGATGATGGTGATGATGAGGGTGGTGATGATGATGGTGATGATCATCATGATCATGATCATGATCACCAGATGATGATGATGACGATGATGATGAGGAGGAGGAGGAGGATAATTATCATCGTCATGAGCAACGTGCTGGAACATCTGTCCAGGATTGACAAGATGGGTTAAGTCTTGCTTCTAACTGTTGACGAGAAACCCAAAACTCTCTAAACCCTCAACACCTAAACCCAGAAGCCCAAACCCCTGAACCCTAAACCCTCAGCACCTGAACCCGAAACCCTCAACACCTACCTAAACCAGCCCAAACCCTAAACCCGAACACGACTTACCCAGCTGTTTTGCTGTTTTTGTTCACAGCCCTCTTTCTTTGGTCGGGCCCCAGAACTCCTTGATGTGTTTTAGGGCTTGGGGTTTAGGGTTTTAGGTTTTGGGGTTTAGGCTTCAGGGTTTCGGGTCCGGGGGTTAAGGTTTAGGGCTTAGCGATTAGACTTTCAGGGCTCAGAAGGGTTGCAGGAGCGAGTCTGATTCACAACCGAAACATGTGGGAGTTTCCGAAAATTAGGGTACCCTATTTTGGGGTCCTTATAATAAGGATCCTACTATTTAGGGTACTATATTCGGGTCCCTTATTTTCGGAAACTCCCATGTTCAAACGAAGCATCAGCATAATGCATAAGCTTGCGGCATCGCAATGGACTTATGAGAAGGGAACCACACTGGCAGCACTCGGTAAGTCTTCCACCGTAACATCTCCACATAAAAGCTAGGCTTAGCGGTTCAAATGCCCTAAACCATATCAACACAGACATACCTATGGTACGATGTGATAAAACTGTGTCACCTCAACTGACTAGCTGTTCTGTAATATTGCGGCTAGCGCTGACTCTAGCACGCTAAACCCTAAATCCTCACAGCCCAGCCACAAGCTCCGCAGAGACATCGGGATGTCTCGCCGTTACAGAGTGGAGCTGCTGGTAGCTCAAGCACCTCAGAGAGTGCCAGGTTGCTAGAGATGGGCGTATATCCTGAAAGCCCAATGACCCTTGAGTCAGGAACATACCCCTAGACTGCAGACGCCTTCCTGTTATGATTTAAGCTGTATCAGCGATATTCACACTTTCCTTACATCAGGGATATTGAAATCCCCCAGGGCGGTTGGTATACGGAGCGGTGTAGAGAGACGAAACGACCCGAAGCGGTACGGAGCGGTCGTGGCGATATACAATGCGGCATGGGCGGTATGAGACGGTACAGAGCGGTACAAGTGCTATATACGGGGCGCTACGGGGCGATACGGCCCGGTTCAGAGCGGCGCGGGCGTTGCGGCGGTACGGAGCGGCACATGCCGTGCGGGGGCTGTACAGCGGTTCGGAACGGAATACAGGACGCTACGGAACGTACAGTTCAGGGGCTGTCGGGGCCGATTTGCAGGGCGATACAGCGGTCAGGACACTACAGAACGTTAGGCAGGTAAACCCTCAACCCCAAGCCCTAAAGTGCCCCGCATTCAGGGTTTAGGGTTGGGGGTGTAGGCTTTAGTTTAGGTAGTATTATTAGGGGTACCCCTTAAACTGTACCCCTTCTGAACCCGACTTTTGGCTCTCTTAAAAGGGACCATAGTGAGAGGGTCTATATCCCCAAGGGTCCCCCTAATCCTAGCTTTTACGGTTCAATTCCAAGATACAGCAGGCTGGTGCTGGAGCCGGCAACTGCTTGCCCCAGGTACTGCCATTGCGTCCTTAGAAGGGCTCCCGAGGTTTGGGGCCTCGGTATCTCATGTATAATTAGGGTTTAGGGTTTAGGGTTTAGGGTTTAGGGTTTAGGTTTAGGGTTTAGGGGACTACAAGGGAATATGAATACTGTGACGAACGATTCGGTTGGCTCTGGACACAGGATCGGCATGGGGAGGAGTTTCAGATCTTTCTACAGCATGCGCGCCCTAGACTCTAAACCCTTAAACCCCTAAACTTCTGCGCAGCAAAGACACCCTTCGCACATCCAGTGACCAGGCGTGACACGCAAAACAGGGGTCTGACTCTTCTGAGACTTCCCCGACTTGACAAAATTCTGAACCTGCTGGCTTGCCTTGGCTGCTGAGTTCATAAGCCCCAAAAGTTTAAAGTTTGAAGTTTCAGTTCCATACAGGATTTCACGATGCCAAAAATGTAAAGTGCACTAACTCAGCTACGAAGTTGCAGTTATCGGAGACATTGTAGCCCAAGTCGTTGCACGGTTAATGGACCAAGTCTTCGCTGTGTGAGGGCTGCTCCGCTCTGTCTGTGTAACGATGCCCTTCTGCTTGTACAGCACGAAATTGTATGCCACGAACAACATGTTGTCACATCGTAGCCCCGGAGAAAACAAGGTCTCATTCGGTGCCAGTGTCCAATCAGAAAGACCTTGCACACACAGGTCGTACTGGAAGTCTGGGTACTTCAACATCAAGGAGTAGAACGTCTGATGGCAGGCCACTATGCCACCGAAAGCCTCGCCGCATAGTTCTGCGTGCAACAATTCGGGTAGAAGTGAAGCAATTTCGTGCTTGGAAGGCACGGTGACTCTCTTCACCGTTTGCTTGAGATAGTCCTTCAAGCGACATTCCAACTTCCAAGAAACCCGATATGTCTCCAGAAAGTCCTCGGAATGGGCGTCTCTTACGATCCGGGTTCATTTTGTGGAACCCGGTTCCGGTTGGACTTTGGCTTATAAGTTTGGGTCTTGGGTGGCGTGAGGCTTTGCAGTCCAATTTAAGGACGACAGGGCAAACACATTCGTTCCAAAATTGGAGGTACGATTAAGACCATGCTCAGTATTGTTCGGCTATGAAACGAATCTGGACAATGCTAAAAACCTCCGCGAGTTACCACTACCACTATGCACCGTCGTCGTTGTCGATGTCGTCGTCGTGGTCGCCGTGAACGTGGTCATCTTAATCGTCGACATAGTAATCGACATAGTAATCGACCTCGTAATCGTCGTCGCAATCGTCGTCGTTTGATTGTCGTCACGGCAGTCTGGCTGCCGTCTAGACGCAGTCGTCTCGATGCCGTCTTCGTCATAAAAGTAGAAGCAGGACTAGAAGCACTAATAGTAGTAGTAGTAGTAGTAGTAGTAGTTGTTAGTAGTAGTTAGTAGTAGTTAGTAGTAGTAGTAGTAGTAGTAGTAGTAGTAGTAGTAGTAGTAGTAGTAGTCGTCGTAGTAGTCGTCGTGGTGGTAGTAGTAGTAGTAGTAGTAGAAGTAGCAGTAGTAGTAGTAGTAGTAGTAGTAGTAGTAGGTAGTAGTAGTAGTCGTCGTCGTCGTCGTCGTCGTCGTTGTTGTTGTTGTAGTGGCTACTACTACTGCTACCGCTACTACTACTGCTGCTAAACTGCTACTACTACTGCTACTGCTACTGCTACTGCTACTGCTACTGCTACTGCTACTGCTACTACTGCTATACCACCACCACCACCACCACCACCACGACTACTACTACTACTACTACTACTACTACTACTACTACTACTACTACTACTACTGCGCCTGCTCCTGCTGCTGCTCCTCCTGCCCCTACTCCTACTCCTACTCCTACTCCTACTCCTACTCCTACTCCTACTCCTACTCCTGCTCCTGCTCCTGCTCCTACTCCTGCTACTCCTAATCCTCCTCCTCCTACGCCTTCTCCTACTCCTACTGCTACCGCGACTAGTACTAGTAGTTGTTGACCATGCTACCCAACTTTGCTTGCAAAGCATCCGAGAGTTGGCAATCTGCTTCACCCTGCTGCCGCCGCACACGGCGGATATCCGACATGTCGTTCGTGACGATGGAAGTGAAAATGGACCCGATTCTTAGACACGCAATCGCAGTGCTTCGCAAGTCTGACATACCAGGGGTATTCGCAAGTGGATACTTCTTCCGTATCTAGTAGCAGTCTTCCCTCAGGACGGGGAGTCTTAACAATGGTATATACCTACTTGCCCCCCTAAACCCTAAACCCTAAACCCTAAACCCTAAGCCCTAAACCCTATCCCGAGTTTCTGTACATCCTAGACCCAACAGCCGAAGCCTAAATCCCGAGCTCTCAAACCCTGAGCCCTAAACCCATGGCGTGCTAAGCTCGAACCTGCGACCTACAGGGTTTTGGGGTTCCTTTAAAGGGTTCCTTACAAGGTTCTATAAGGGCTAC